GTATAGAGCCAAAGATGTTAGAATTGTGTCGATGTCCCAATACTTCTGGACCTGACTGTATCTCCCATCCTTTTCCACATAACTTGTTTACCATAGTGCCCACTAATCTTCCCAGTATTTCCCACCTCCAGTGGAGTCCTTGGAGTTCTCTGAGCTTGGCTGTTTTCTTGCAAACATTTCGTTACCTGGCTAGGTAACATCTTCAGTGCTAGAATGGAATAGGGTTTGCTCTCTGTTTATATACAATGGCATGCTCTGCCAGTGTGGGTTTGGTTTTCTTTTGTTTTTTCCTCCCCAGACCTCCACCAACACTGGCATGGCATGTCACTATATATAAACAGACAAAACCCCATTCTGTTCTAGCACTGAAGATGTTACCCAGCCAGGTAACAAAACGTTTGCAAGAAAACAGCCAAGCTCAGAGAACCTCAAGGACTCCACAGTTCAACCCTGAGCTACACATATTCGCTTCTATTTCCCACCTCCTGTTAGCTACCCCAGCAGCTACCCTCGATATCAAGCATGGCATAGGGCAGACCAGTTGGATATGCCTTGCTTGACTTCAAGGACAGTGGCAGCTAAGGGGTGATAGGGAAAGGAAAATGAAGGGATACCACTTGAATGTGCTGCTATTAAACTTAAGGATGGTGGCAGCAGCCTGCCTGCACCTTTCCCTGCTCTTCCCAAAGCCCTCATTTTTCCACCTCTCCTTAGCAGCTACAATTTGCCACCCTTGAATCAAGTGCAGCATATCGAACCAGCATCCCCTGTCTTTCTCAACACCTTCCTTTCCCTATCTTACCTTAGTCACTACCAAAGGCCTTATCTTTTTCCTGCTCTTCCTGTAAGAATACTTTCCCACATTGGTAAGAACTCTTAAAGATGTTACCAAAACCAAGTACAGAATTGCTCTACCTTCACAAGACACAAGACTCCTCCCCTTTACAGTGAAAAAATATGAGAAAATGGAACTTTCTTGTAGGTAGAAGAGATGGTTTCCACCTGTATCTTGATTTGGTAACAAGCTGCTATGGTATCAGACTGTTTGCTTGTGTCTGCATATGAACTGCCTCTCACATTAGTTTACCTAACTCAATTTCATATATTCAAGATATTTGTACAGAATCTTATAAGCAATCCATATCCTACCTTGGTAGGTTATAGGAGTATTCAAACTGTTCCATGCGTGAAGCATTCCGTGCATAGTACAGCTAGTTTTGGGTGGTCTGTGTCCAGACCAGATCACACATATTTTGTCTTGGCACGGATCCAAAATGTGCCTGTTCCAGGAGGACATGTTTCATGGTTGGGAATATCTTTCTTATGTTTTAGGAATGCTTGTATGCCTGTCCCAAATTCAGCCTTCAAGATTTATTTGTC